GAGAGAGAGAGAGAGAAGAAACTCGAGCACACCTGAGTCGGATTCCTGCAACCAACCATTAATTCAGCCCCTTCCTCCTTCCATCGGATCCCCGCTCATCGTACGATGAGAGAAGGGGACGACAGCGGTGGAAAGGAGAGGAGGAGGAGGAGGAGGATATGAAAAGGAGAAGAAACGCGGAGGTGGAGAGACGAGATTTCTTCAACGGCGACGATCGCGGCGCAGAGAGCGGAGGTTGCGGTTAGAAGGTTTAAAGCCGGGTCCACACAGTGTCGCGGCTCGCCGCTATGGCCGCGTACCACCTGACCATCTACGCCCAACGATACACAACAACGCAACCTGTCCGGCATCGTGCATCGCATCGTACTCACGGTGCCGTACGTCCGACCGACTGGTACCAGTACGGTACCAGTTGCCCTGCAGCCGGCCACGCGCGCGCGCCTTCCTTCTCCCGTCTAAACGTCGCCATCGCCGATCCCATGATTCGATCGATACGCCGCTACGCCGACCGAGATCATCGACCGACAACAGCCCAACAATCGCCGTCCTCCTTTCGTCCAAGGGACGACGACCAAGGGATCTCCACCTTCGCCCACTGAGAGAGAGAGAGGTACGTGCGCTCCCGTCCCCCGATTCACTCACTCCCGTGATCGACACCTTCGATGAACTTGAATTTCCATCCCAGCATTTTCTTCTCTTCTCTTCCATGCCGACCGACCGACCGACCGACCAACCACGTCCTCCCAAATTTCTTCCGTATTTATATCGTATATACCACGGATCCAAGCTCGTAGTATCGCGTCTCATCCCCTTTCTCGGGATATTTATAGTTATGGGATACGATGCGACGTTTAACTCGGATTCCTTCTACGGATTTACGAATAATATTTATTACGATCGTGGAAAAGGATATTTTGTCGTTTGGGTCGGGTTTATAGATTTCGACGCTTTCTTCCTCCTCGGACGGCCGCCTTTTTTTTCGAAACCGACGGTTTTATTTATTACGGTAGAGGAGGAGGAGGAGGAGGAGGAGGAGGATAATGAAAATTACGAATATTTTTTACAAAAAGGCGTGGCTCAGCATTCCAACTCTCCCGTGTACGCTGTAACTAAACTTTGTACTCTCCCCGTTCCATGTATCGTATCACGCGAGTTGTTACGCTGATCATCGAGACTCTAGGCGTGTCAAGGTGTTTCAATCCTCCACTTTGACGCGTTATTTTTAGTTTCTTCCGCACAATGCGCGGCTGCTGTCCACGAATACGTATATCATAGCCTCGCAAAAATTCTTCGATCGCGAGAAGCCAACCGGAGCCAATTTATATTTACGCTCGATCACGCTCGTTCGCAATTTTTCATTACGCGGAGACGCGTAATAATCCGTGATTAATTTTACACGGTAAGAGTTCAAGTAACCTCGTTCCCAGCAATCATTTCGCGATATTTTAAGCAGTTTCCATAAAATATTTACGACCTTTTCGCGGAACGGTGATGAGATCACGGTTCGACGCGTCCCACTACCGACGAGTCACGATCGTTGCGTAACCACGCTCGTTGCTGGATATCAAAAATACCTCCCTGCCCCCGCTCGGGATACACGATCGATTCCTTTTCCCTCCTTGTCCTCGCGTTGCACGCGTGTAAAAACTCGAGTTAGAAAGTGTACGACGCCGGCGTTCCTCCTTTCTTTCGTTTATCGCGATTCTCGTGTAATCGCGAATGCGCCCACGCGCGCCACGGTGAAACCTCCCGATAATTCGCCTTGTTCGCGTGCCTTTAATTTAACGCTTTTACTCTCTTGCTTCGCGTCTTTTCTCTTCGTGCTGGTGTATGCATGCATGCATGCATGCATGCATATACGGTTCGAGAGACGAGGAAGAAAGAGGCTGTCAACAACTTTTGCACAACCCAGTCGATTTTCGATAAAGGTTAAGAAAAGGTTCACGGGGCTCGACGATCGAAATTGTACACGAAAACGATCGTCGCGCGGATATCTCGCAATTACAAACCTACCTTTCTTTCATACACTGGTACTTTGTTCAACAATGCGTAATTCCCCCGCGATATTTCTAAATTATATCTCCCCGTGTTAAATACACCCGACCGTAAACTCCTATTTTGCGGAACGCGCATAAATTTAAACTAGCCGCTTGAAATAGCCGCTTTACTTTTCTTCGTTTAGAATCGCGTTAAAAAACAAAGATCGGAAGATTTAACTCGAATTTTACGATTCACGACGAACAACGGAAACGAAACGAAACGTTGAGTCTAAAATTTTGGACAAATGCAAATGAGATAAGCGATTTGCACGCGATCCAAAAAAATGGCGTTTACGTTCCACTCTCTATATTCGGAACTCTATTGCTTCGACGCTACATTAGAGAAAAATTGGAACGCGCGTAGGATGACGATATGTAAACGTAATAATGGAAAAATAAGGAGAAGTTAAAGAGTTAATAGAGCATCGATATAACAATCGCGTATCGTTGGATGACACCCGGTTAAACGACGACCGACGAAACGTCGAAAGATCCGATGACATCGATCAACAACGAGCGAGGTGAACAGCGAGGGGAAAAAGGAAGAAACAAGAGTCGCCGCGTACAATAATACGATTACACGTTGCGCGCACGATCGCACGCTTATTCACCGATTATTGTCGAGAACACAACGCGGTGACGACGCGACCACACCGTGCCGCGTAGGTGTTGTTCCACAATCGCGGACCCGTTTCACCGTCCATTCGTGGCGAGGACGTTGAAATTTCCATTTCCTCTCGTATCGCGAATATACGCCGAATGGAAAGCACGAATGGATTTTTCTCGTTTCTAATCTTCTATCGCGAGAAATCGGGAGAAAGATCCCTCCTGATCGGCCTCTGGTGTCGAGATTCATATATCCTCGAATTTTCGAATTCCTCGACTGGTGAAAGTTTTCGTACGATTTTTTTTAGGTCGAGTCGCCTATTCCGCGGAATTTCTTCCATACACTTTACACAGGAATCGACAAAAGTGCAATCAATCAATCACACTTTTTCGTCGTTAATTTTTTTTTTTTCCATTTCGATAAGATTCCCTTTCGAAAATTTCGAAACAACGTTCGGAAAAAAGAGATAACGTCGCGTTCGTGTATTTTCCTCGCACGGAATAAGAAATTCGAACCTCACGAATAAAAATCCTTTTACCAAGGTTTAACGAGAAGAAGTTTACGCGTACACAAAGTACCTCGTGATCTAGATATACGGGATCTAGTAACGCGAAGAGAATTAGCTTAAATGGACGTGAATGCAGAGGCCGGACTGTTTTCCATTACAACGCAGAGGGGAATGACTGGGAATCGCGTAGCGGCATTATGAATTCGCGTATTCGTTGCCCGCCGCTCGTCGAGCGTCCAACGGTTACGTTTTGCTTGCCCGCTTTCAAACACCGACACGCGCGATTTACACCGCCCGATCGTTCCAACGAGTCGCCGATTTCAACGATCCACCGCGTCTCTTCGCCGCGTTTCCATCCCGAGATTCTTTTCATCCGGCTCGGTGAGGCGAGAATGAAAGCTGCCAACAATTGTTGACGCAAGGAGAACGAGGAGATTCGTAGCGAGGACGTAGTTAGTCACTGGACTGTTGCTTGTTGTGTACCGTTAAAGGGTGTGTTCTAACATTCTTGCAACGATCGTTGTCGGGCAGAAGGTCGCTCGTCCGAGAAAATATCTGGGTGTGCGCGAGTGTGTTATTAAATTTTCTTTCCAATTTTAAGGGATCTCGAGTAAGAAACAAGAAAAAAAAAAAAAAAAAAAATTAATCATTATCGAAGGTTCGACGATAAGCGAGCGTGAGTCCATTAAGAAGCTAGAAGCGTCGTATCATCCTCGCACGTGTTCTCCGAACCTCTGAGAGCGGTAAATCGTGTTCTCCGCGATATCACGGGGATCCATACGTTACAGCTCGAATACCATAGATCAGTATTGTCCGAGTTAAGCTTCCAGGCTTAGAGATTAGCCGTGGGCTGATTCTTGGATAGGGCGGTGACCTTGAGGCCAATCGATTTTGGATCGACTGTAACACGCGTAATTGGTTCGAGTCGTTAGCATTAGCTTCGTACGATCGATCGACTCGTATCGTTCAAAATTCCGAGAACACTCGACTCCAAGTTCTACTATTCCAAATTTCTAAACACTTGAATAATTCTTGAATGATCGATTCGTGAAATTTTTCAGCGAAGACGAGCCCTCGTTACATCGGCTTGGTTACGCGGCAAAAAAGAGAGGCGAGAGAAGCGTGCTGGTTGCGGCAGGTCACGAGGAACGGGTCTTAAGATGGCCTACATTATCCGGCCTTATCGGTGAGAGAAAGAAACAGGGAGGAGAGAAGAGGCGACCACGTGGCGGGAGAAACGGTCGAGATAATAGCCGGACGGAAAGAAAAATGGGACAAGCTTGGTGCAAGGAGAAGACCTCGAAGGCACAGGACTCCAAATCACCTCTGGATCGAGTCTTCGTACGATGCGCGCATCGGGTATGTCGATAAATATTCCATCCTTTATCTATCCTTCTTGCCGTGTTTATTTATACGGATCAAATATCCAATCGAAAATATAGGATAGCGATTGGGAGAGAAAAAAAAGAAAAAAAAAAAAAGAAACAGGAAACAGGAAGATAGAATATCAGTTTCTATGGGAAGAATGTACGGGACCGCTTCGCGTCAACATGCGTGACCTACTTTACTTGCATCGAGAACGAGAGAGGCGTAAAAACAAGAAAAATATTTTAACGAGTTATCATGTTAAATTAGTTCTTAACCATCGCGAATTTGTACAACTGTTCGACCATTCGATACGAAATACCGCGTTACCTCTTGCTCGAAAGGAAAATGATTAACGAATAGAGGAAATTCGAGTGACGCGAAAAATATCGATACGAGTTATTTTCTGCGTGTTCTGAAATATTTTACCGAACGCGATAAATAAGACGATACCGCGGAAATATTTAAAATTAAGCTGAAAATAAATAGAAAACAATTCCTCCTTCGAGTAAGATTTTCTGATAACGCGTTATCAGAAAGAGCGACGAGTATTTCGTTTCTTTGAAATTATATTATTGTCTATATCGTGTAATATAATTCATAATTCTTTGAGAAAAATTCTCTTCGAACTAGCTTGATACGTACAATTATTCTTCTTCGTACGAATGGTTTCTCGAGAAAAAGCTCCAAGATTCCGCTCGCTCGCAACGGATCGGAAGAGGAAAGTATCAAAGCTAATCGAATTCGGTTCCCCCTCCCCTACCCCGGATACGAGATGGAAACAAGTTACACCGATATCGCTTTAAAAGACCCATGAAAATTTGATTGGACGGTCAAACTCGATCGCAAGTAGATCGCCTCATCCACCGTCACAACTCCCTATTGCGTTTAATCACTTTATCGTCCGGTAAGCGGACGTGGAACGAGGAGGTTCCTCGAAAACTAGTTTGTTACGTCGATACTTGACGGTATTGGCAATTTAAATAACTGATTATATCGCGCGCGCACGTCGGCCACGGTTGCGCGTGCACGCGTGACATGGATTTATCATGGTGCCATCGGACACGCCACGCTCCAATTTCGAATCCCAGACACGCAGATACGTGTGTAATTGCTAATTAACCGAGTGATGCCTCCCCCCCCCCACCACACATTATACACACCGTCGCAAAAACGAGCCGATCCCATCTCCTCTCCTATTTCCCATCTGTTCACCGTTTTTCCCTAACTAATCCGTCCTATCCACTCGTCTCAATCTGCCCGTTGTACAAGCAAGAAATATCGATTGAACGCTTTCGATTCGTTTCGAATTCCAAAGAAATTCCTCAAAGTTTGTCGTTCTCTATCTCCATCTCTATCCATAATAAAGATTCGTATTATATTTCATATATATTCAATCGATCGAGCGTTTAATCGCGGAAACAACGAATCGATTCATCGCAGGACAAAATGTACGGGGGGGAACGAAATCTCGTTAATTATCGATCGTTTCGATCGTTATTACCATCATCGCGGCTTTAAGGAATGTTCAACGCGTCTCTCTTTTCTTTTCCTTTCGCGTAACGCGATCGTTTGGTTATTTTTTTTTCTTTCTTTCTTTCTTTTCTTTTTTTTTTTTTTTTTTTTCAATAACGAAACGACTCCTTTTTTTCTCGCGTTGGTTACGTAAAAAGACAATTCGCGTTTTACACAGTCGAGTGGATGTTTCACGCGTGACTCGTTCCGATTCCATTCGCCATTTCTTTCTCGTCGATCGTATGCATCACGATTAGCAACGATAATACTTTAGCAATCTTTTTTCTTTCCTCGTCACAGATCGAAACGATTTTTATTAACCGAAATATCGACTCGGTTTCCTTCAAATCTCCCCCCCTCTTTATTTATATAATTTTGTACAGAATCTGCTCCTTTTCCTCCGCATATTTTCCGCGTATTTTCATTTATTTTTTTATCACTCGAATCGATAAGCATGAGAAACAATGGAAATTTTTTCGACGACGAGTTCGACCGAGAGAGAGAGAGAGAGAAAAAAACTCATTTTCGTGGAACGGAAGAAAATGCAACAACGAGGAATACAATGCACCTTTTAATCGCGAAAGGCAGGTTATCTCATCGCTTAAAGCCCGTGTAATGGGCTACCACGTAGCGATACTTGCTAATTACTTTCCCCTCGCAAAACGTTAAACTCCCGTTACCATATTATTGTTTCTCTGATACTTTTTCCACGATCGTCCCAATTTTCTACGTCCACGGATATACATATACATATATATATATGTATTCGATAAAAATAACAATGTAACAACTTTGTTCGTTTCTTCGATTTCCGATCTTTCCTCTCATCTCTCGTTTTCTCTCTTTATCGATCCAAGATAAAGCGTACGTACTCGAATACGAGTTGGAAAAGGATATCTTTATTCACAATTTATCTTAGCATTTTCTTAGCAAAACATCCTTTCTCCCATTGTCTTTATCTTCACCAGCAGCCATAAAACACTTTGACCAGTCGTGAATATAAATAGAATGTTTAATACGATACACGGTACATTTCGCGATACGTGACACTTTGAATCTCGAAATCCTATTTCTAAAAACTACTAAGATAGTAGTTTTTCGCAGAACGAGTTTCCACATTCAATTATAAATCGTAGAAAAATTTCCCAATATCGTTCTACGCTTCTATACTTTTCTATTTCACCAGATTCATCTTTAATCTTTCGAGACTCGATATTTTTATATATATATACGTATACAAATTCGATATTTAATATTTTCTGGCACGAGAACGAAAAAGAAATAACAAGAGGCGATGATCGGTAGGCGGATGATTCATTGTCCGATTAGGACAATGCAGAACGGCGAGCAAAGTTCGGTGCGGCGAGTAAATGAGAAAACGCCGCCGCACCGTCAAGGATTCACGGTGTTGCGCAACATCCGACGACAACCAAGGAGAGGAAAAATCGAGGCCGGCGCGTGTTTATTGGCCAATTCTTTTTTATTCCTTCTGACCGCGACGGCAAGCAAAGTTCCACTTCACGATGAATTTCCCGCCTTCTCACGGTCCACGCCTTCGAGATTAATTATCTCTAACAAACGTTCCTCGGCGGAGGAACGGACGAAATCCTGTTTTACGTCCAGCTGTTATGAATTTGATTATTTTTTACGGTCGGGGATTTCGCGCTGGATGTCGTGCGAATTTTTCCTTTTTCGTTTGAAATGATAATTTAACGCGTACTAGCTACTCGTTATACTCGAGTATACGTAATTACTTTTTACCAAGATTATGCGCTTCGCTCGCGAATAAATATCATCGCGATACTCGATCACTTTTACATTTACATATCAACTTTTCTCTTCGTCTTTTATATCTTTAAAACGTTATATTTTTTCAAATATAATCTTTCGCGACAGAATTTTACGTTAAAAATCCTTTCTTTTCTTTTTTCTTCTCTCTCTTCTCCCCCCCCCCTCCCCCTCTCCTCCCAATTCCAACCGATATTTTAAATATTCGTGAAAAGATGGCTAAAATGAAAAATAACCGAACGATAAGTGGATAATCATAAGCGTTAATTACATTATTTACGTTTCTTCGAACAAGTTCGATCGATAGGATGATGGAGAAAAAAAAAAAAAGAAAGAAAAAAAAAGCAAACTGCGTAATTACATTATTGTATAACCGTGTAAAAAAAAAGAAGGAAAAAAAAAAAAGAAAAAAAAAAAAAGAATCATCGAATCGCGTTATTAAATCCATGAAATCAAAAAGATAATCGTTCGTCACTAACGACAAAATCGATTCAATAAACGAGTATTTTTAGCGACCAGTCGTTTCAACGACTGTTTTCCCCGAAGCGCCTACCACTAAGCCTGTTGCAGTCATTGCTCGTTCTTATGTAATTCGCGCTTAACGCTGCACACGCGCGCGCGCGTGAAAAAAAATATTAAATCGCTTTAAACGTTAATTGCGTCTCGGTATAAAGAAAATTAAAATGGTAACGTTCGCTGACATTTCTCGTTCAAGATTATTACGTCGTTTCGTCCTTGACAAATCGTCCTTCCGGTCACGATTCGAGAAAACGCACTCTCTCGAACGAATCTTTTTCATCCGATAATTGCAACATTCCTTTCGGCTTACGCAACTTTCAACGTGCCGAAATCTTTCCTGTCGATTACTTTCGAAAAATTACGAATTATCTACGATCATACGTTGAAATTAGAAACGCGATTCCAATTGAACAGTTTCCTTTTTTTTCCACGATTATTCGCAGCACCTTATCCAAACGACGTATTAACGACGTTTCAAACGTTGCTCTGCTCGAGCACTTCGTTTCGATTAGGTTGAAGAAGAAATATCTCCATTTGGATTCATTTCGATTAGATTCTCCTCTACCTCTTTCTCGCCTTTTGTGACTTTATTTATCGAGAGATTGTTGTTGTAATTGCGATCGAGATTTCTGAATATTCGCTTCACCAATTCTTCTCGCGAGACGTTAAAAATATTAGAATTTACGAAAGGAAAGAAACGGAAGCACGAGGTGAAAATTTTTCTTTCTTTCATCTGATCGCAGACACGCACGACGGTGAAAGAAAGGTAAAAATTGAACGACGTTGAAAGACGTGGAACGAGGAAAGGGAGATTAATTTAGCACGATCTAGCTAGTTAACCGTAATTACTTACGGTTGACGTAACCGAGTTATTCAAAGCCTTTCGACGTAATTAGCAATCGTTAATGAACGATCCGATGATTTGTATTCATTAAATCGTTCGCTCGAATAATAACGCATTCCTCTCGCGTGTATAACGCAAAGAAAATTTATCTCTTCTGTATATACACCGATCAACCGGACGATAAACTATATAATAGATGTATACGGTATATAAGAAAAATTTAAACGATATTCTCCTTCTACATTTATAACACAAATTCGTATTCGTTCTAAGCGGTTTATATTTATATCGTTATTCGTGATGATTTATTATTACGAATTTACCTACGTTAGTAGTGGTTCTCATTCTTTTTTTTTTTTTTTTTCTATCAATATGCAACGAGAACGTATAGTTGGATTTTATCGGCGAAAATAATATTTGTGCATTTGTGAAATTGTATACGTTCGATTTTGAACGTATGACGACATCGGTGACATCGTCTCTCGAATGGAATATAATATCGACGAGGATCGCGTCCTCATCGCGCTCCACAGATCTATCGAGATTCGACCTCGTTCAGCTCATTAGTGGAACATCGATAACGCGGTGTTAATTGGGATCGTAAATATCATTGCTTAACGTTCCACGTCTGGTCACCGAGCATGTTACCTATGGAATTATACCGGCAACATCGGTAATGTTTCACGAACTAATATATATAATAATCGAATCGAATGCATTCGTTTGTCAAAGTCTCGAACCTTTCTGTCTTGTCATCGTCTCATTCGTTTCATTCATCTAAAAATTGAAGAGAAATTTTCCACCGAGACAGAGAAAAGATTCGATTTCTGGAAATGGAGGCGAGCACCGTGTACCTTTTCGATGGATTATAAATATATATATATATATATTACGACGTCTATGTATTTACGTTTTTCAACATTTTTTCCTCCTAAAAGAATTCCCGTGTCGTCCATTTTTGAACGATGTCTTTTTAACCTATCACGCACGATGCTTGTAAACTTAATTTTCGTTTTCGATTTTCTTCGAAAAGATACGCTATATCATCTTTCGACGCGCTTTGAAGGAACGAAATTCGAAATTTACTCGACGCGTTGCACGAGATCATCGAACCGAAATTTTAAGAATGCGAAAAGTTACCACCTTCGAGAGTTATATTTACACAACAAACGTTTGTATATTTCCTCGAAACAATTTTCTTGCTACCATGGCCGATAATATTGGTTTAACGATAACTTCGATCCGATACGGTCGTAACTTACGATTGTTAGCTCAACGACAATATATTTATATGCATCTAACAGCTCGATTGCATCGATATGCGTATCGGGATGGAAACATTGTAAAAATTGTAACGAAATCGCAATCGTTCTTCGAGTCTTTCCACGAATCTTTAAAAATATCGTGAAATATCGATTAAATCGAGTTAAATTCGGGTCGGATAAGCGAGTCGTCGATTGTTTCATCGAGGAAAGATCACGGAAAGCAAGGTTTACGGGCGTTAATAGTATTCTCGCGTTGGTTTAATAACAAAATTGCTTTTCAATCCGCGACGACACGTCGCAATGTTACTTACGTTCTCTATTTGCAACAAGCAAGCAAGCAAGTATGCAAGTAAGTAAGTACGTGACTTCGAACGGTGTGTGGCTCAACGAAGGAAATGAGATAAATTCCAGACACGATTCATGATGCATCGTTTCCATTCGAGAAAACTTATCTTATTGTTTGAAATTCGGTACACTCGGTACATTTCTCTCTCGCAACGAGAACAACTCGTAGGATCGGATAAAACATTTTTTCTAAAAAAATTCGATCGATTTACACGCGTTCTAATTATCGATCGAGTTAATCGACGAACACGATTTCGCCGATCGTAAAAATATCGAAGATAATACAGCAGTAGGACAATCGTTCGATTTTACGACCGATCCCCGAGGTAGCTGTTTTACAATTTCTTCACGGTCCTCGATAAATAATAAAGTTTTACGGGCGAACGACTTATCGCTTTGCTGCGTCGCGTTGTAGCGAGTAGCAGTTTCCCTGTCAGCCTTAAAGCATCGCTCCCTCCTCCAATGGAAACAGTGTATCTAAGCGAACTGTAACTAAAGCGAAACGTGGAATATATCGCTCGTGATGGAAAATTCGAGGTTCGACGTTGTCCGTCGCGAACAGATAATCCATTACCCATCGATCCTATCGATCGAGTCGTTGCGTTTCCATTTTTGTTAGAAAAAAAAAAAAGAAAAAAAGTTGATCGAAATCTTCTTCTTCACGAGTTGTTTCACCCGACGAGTTAATTAGCGGTCGCGTAAAATTATCAATTTGTATCAAATTGGAATTACACATTATTACGATTTAATTATTAATATATACTTTTAATTAAACCCGGCAATTTAATTTTCGACGAACGAATGTAACAGAGACGCAACTGTTTTGCAACAGTTTTACAGCAATTTTTCACGATAATATTCATACAATTCCGTTACTCGATTTCAAAAGAAGATAGATGACGGATAGATAGACTTGCTACTCGAGCGATTTTGTTGGAAACAAATTTTTTTTTCGCGTTACATCGGCGGACGATGTCTCCGCAGACGAAGCAAACGTGGTGGTGTCTCCGATCCTGGAGACAACTGACGCGGTAATTTAATCAACGGGACAACTTTTGCATCGTGTCGGGACCGAAACAACTTCGACGAGGACGAATTTGCAATGTAAACCGTGAAACGACACGTGTATTCGAAATTCGTGGAGGATTCGCATAAACGAGGGCAATTACCGGTAAAAATATTTCTCCAAACTTTTCTTTCTTTCATCCTTTCAAAGATCGGCGGGAAATTGTTTTTCCAGAGATATTTTCGAACATCTTTTCGCTCGCGATCGAACGCAATTACTCGCCTCTATCTCGTCCGTATCCGGTGCACACGGCTTCCGGTCTCCCTCGAACCGCTCGGAGGAGACACGCTCGGCAGAGTGTATACATACGCTTGCTTCTTCTTTCACGCTGGAATAAAAACCACTTTGAATTTCGCGAATTTCGCAACAATGTCGGAAATATTTATTAATACACGTATATATATATATATATATAATTTATGATGGAACGATAGAGAGTAGAGTTGGTTTTCGTTATTAGAGCGTACGATCGGATCGAATATAAATTCGATTCGGGAGAGTGTTAATAACAACGATTCCTCCCCTCCGTTCGAATGTAATTCGGCTGGATTTCGGGGCAAGTTGATCGTAAAGAGCCGATCGCGGCCCATAAAAACGGAAAGCAGCTCGATAGTTCAGCGCCGACGTTGCGTGAAAGATACGGTTATTGCCGATGGCGCGAGACTTTGAAATATTCAGGCCTGGGGGGGATACGCCACGGTATGAATATAATTCCGGCCATTGTCCCGCAAAAATTGATTCCTCCGCGCGTGCGTCCCTCCCCCCAACAAACGTGGAAAAATTAAATCTCCAAGCGACGCTTGTTCCGCCTCGGGGGCCAAATTAAATTCGACTTACAGGTGGCATTGACGGACACGGATCATTTCAATTTTAAACCAGTCCCCTTCTTTTTGCCTCGCCTCTCTCCAAACACTCGCTCCTTCCAAACGTTACGTGATATTACGAATTTATTATTATCTCTCTCTCTCTCTCTCTCTCCCCTGTCAATCGCGCCGTATCATCCTCTTCTCCCTCCATCCAATAATAATCCCCGTGGAGGAATGATGTTCAACAGAACAGAGGTGATCCAATCGTATAATTACGCGGGAGAAATTAGAAGGATGATAAGACGCGAGAAGCGCGAATTAGCTTAATCGACTATCGAAGATGGATCGTCCGGTGTTGGTCGATAGCAAATTGATTCCGAATTCCCTTCTCGGCGATCATCCGTGTTGTTAATCACTCGTCCAATCGGCTTCAAAGAGCCGATTGGAGAGGCGGTTGCATAATTCGCGGCAAATGGGAAAAGGAGAAGAAGAAGAAGAAGAAGAAGAAGGTGATGTAAGCGGGGGAATATTTTAAACGCAACGACACGGAAGAAAATTACGCGAGGCTGTTCGTTCCACGTGGAAAACTCGTGGAAAAATTTGGAGCAGCCGAATCTTCTTTCCAACCTATGTATACACAGAGACAGATTTTTTCCAGCTTTCTCCCCTATATATATATATATATATATACGAATAATCGGATTGGAAATTTGTTTCGTGTGTTTCAGATCTACCCCAGTTTGAAGGAAGAGGGATCGATGTTGGGCGGTGGCACGCAAAGAGTGACAAGGTGGGTTAACGAATGGGGTAACGAACGCGCGTGCAATTAAACGGGACACTCGGAGTGGACCGAGTTTTATCGGTGGCAGGGCGTTTTTAAGAGGCGTTGGAAACTTGCCCGTTCCACGGCCTAGAATCGCGCAGCACCAGCTGTTAATAACGTCGCGGACGACGTACGAGCCGAGATAATAAGAATCCCTCTCCTCTCCATTAATTCCCTCCTTTTATCCCATTTTCCATTCCTCCCCAACTTTCCTCGCTCGCTCGGCCGACAATGACAACAAAATAATCGAAATAAATCGACAGGCATTTACGCTTAACCATCTCGATTCGAATTAGCCGGGAAATTTCCTCGGGAAACATCAAATATTGACCAATTAGCCGCGTTACGTCTTAAATTACCGTTCGCGGCACAACGGAGAGAAATTACGGGCGAAACACGCGTCTCGGGTAATTAGGCACGGTTCCCGCTCTTATCGATCACCCTCCACGATAATTCGTGAGCGTAACTAATTTCGAGACGAGGGGTCGCAACCTCGAGTGTCCTCTCGCGACACGGGAACAGAGGAGTCGTTAAATCGGCACAAATTTTTCCCGAAAATGGCCACTCGATTCTTCCATTCTTCTATTCGCAATGATTCTCCTTCGAAAAAATCGATCGTGCGCGATGTTTCACCGTTTATAACGTATCTATCCTGATTAGAAAAGAAAAGAAAAAAGGTATTAGACGTTTGAAAAACACGATCGACTTTCGTAATGGCTCGTTCGTCTTCTTCTCCAGATATATTGCGACGAGAAGAAAATTAGAAAATCGAACGTTCGTAAAGGAAGAGACACGACGATATCTTACACGATACACGAACAAACGAGGATTATTTATTATCGAGGGCAATCGTGATATTTGGCTAAAGAAAAAGAAGAAGAAAAAAAAAAAAAGAAAAGAAAAGGAATTTCATTGCTGGAAAGATCGTTGGAAAGCGGTCGAGCTTTCCTCTTGGAAAACAATTTACACGTTGAAGGAGGTAAAGCCAAGGAGAGAGGATGGTTGTCTCCTTTCTTTTCGTCTTCTTTTCCCCATGGCGCGAAACGAAGCGCGTGCTCCGTTTTACACGGAGAAAATCGCGGCGGACAAATCGCTCGCGGGATTTTAAATCCCCGTTTCGTTGGTTACGTCGCGATTCCACCCGTGTTATTTCTCTCCTCCTCGCTCTATTATTCCTTTTTTATCCTATTTCTCCCCTCTGCTTCTTCTTCTCTTTTTCTTTTCCCTTGTTTTTCCCCTTCCACTCCCCCGGATTCTCCGCTTTAAAGTGGAACGAATCGACTGAGGACTCGGTCTGGTCCGATTACGCGCACGGAAATATTCGCGGAAATGAGGATCCCGTTGGGTAAAGTTGGCCCGTTAAACGGTCCAAGGGAACCGATTTCCGAGTCGAGCAATCCCCTCCCCCTCGATTAATCCGAGTTTCTCCTCCTCGCCAAATTTCAGAAAGGCCTTATTTCCACCGTTCAAGTTTCTCCAAAGAATTTCGAGACGTATCGGATACGAAATTCTTATCGTGCGATTTTTCTCTCGATTAGAGACAAGGGTGATTCCGGTTATAAAAGGGATAGGAAAGATAGGAAAGGTGAGAGGATGATGGCAGCCTATCGCGCTGTGTTTTGTTCCCATATACGGAGACGGAGGTTTCAGGTAAATTAATGGCGACACGCGATCCGCGGCGTGGGTTTTTCCACCCACGCGACCGCCTTCGATCGCGACACCTTTTTAAGGTCAATGGAACAAGCGTTCGGGCAGGTGTGCCCGAAAATGAGACGAGGCCCGATTTTTTCCTTCACCAGAAATTTTCCCAATTTCGAATCAAAATCGATTATTCATTTTTAACGTGACTCGTTGTTTCGAATTTTCAATATTCCGTCCAAAAGTCGAAAGTTCGTATACGACACGCGTCAAAAAAAATTTTCTAATTCCATCCTGGTGCACGCTACCCTGCTACATTTTCGCTTCTCCTCCTTCTATTATTTTTCTTGTTACAAGTGTCTCGAATCGAGAGAGAGAGAGAGAGAGAGAGAGAGAGAGAGAGAGAGAGAGAGAGA